GGGCCTCCGTGGACAGCTGCGAGGGACAGCGACTCTGTGGGGGCTTCAAGGCGAGGATCTGAACTCGGTTTTTAAAAACGGATCATTAAAACACATTTGTCAGGGAGGCCACAGCCGGCAGCGAGGGAGGAATTATAGTAGACTGACTCTTGGAGACGACAGAGCTCTGGAAGCTCATTTTTACTCCTTCTATTCAACTGTTCTCGTTCATGATGTACATTGGATTCATGGCTTTTATGTCCTCTTAACAAACTGTACCTTTATGCCCAGGTAATGCCCTCCCCCACCTTTGAGCTCATTCACTTGTTCTAACCTCATGCGCATCTTGTCTGCTGGCCACGCTGCACTTCTGAAATTCATTAGCTGGGACTTCTTAGTGGTTTCGTTATTGTAAGAGCGTTTAACTAGACATTTATTGACCTGAATATGACAGAATGGAGGCTATTCACATTTAGAGTAACAACTTCTATTATCTGATTTGATTCATTTTATCTTACACGGAGTTTTTAAAAATTTTGTTTAGTGGTGTATTATTATTATTATTATTCATAGATTGAAGCCAGGCTTAACCACTGGGCCACATCCCCAGTCCTTTTTCTTTCTTTATTTTTTATTTAGGGACAGGGTCTCATTAAGTTGCTTACGGCCTCCCTAAGTCACTGAGGCTGCCTCAGCCTCCGGAGCTGCTGGGGTTACATAGTTTCCTTCTTCTTTCTCCTTTTCTCTTTCCTGAGTTTGAGAGTTCCACGTTCCTGGCACCCACAATCAGAATCATTCTCTTGCACCATTACGTGAAAACAGATACTCTTTCCCCCAACACATTCATCCATCTCTTGGCTCACTTGCGGTCAGTAAGATGAGCCCCTGGGCATGGGCCCTTACTAGTGGTCAGGCCCCCTTCCCGGGTCCCTCCTGTGTTACCCACAGGCCAGAGAGTGAGCCTTGGACAGTGCTGTTTCCTCTTAGTTTTCCCTCTTTAACCCTCTTTGGTTTTACTCATGCTTATCTCCTGACTAGAACTACCATTTCCCTTACATTCATGTATTTTTTCTCTATTTCAAGAACCTTTGTATAATTATATATATTTTTTTCTAAGAAAGAACTTTGACACCACTGAGATTCTACCCTTAATCAAACTTTAATCAGGCTTCTCTGAGCCATCTGCTCCACTAGCCCCATCTTTTTTGTTTCTGAGTTGTGGAATTTAGCCAGACCTCCACTCTCCTTGACGTCCTTGACAGTCCTCCAGGTGATTGATTAGCCCAGCGGGTCTTCATCAAGAATCCCAATAGGTCAATTTAGTAAGAATTCTCCTAACCTCTTGGTAATTTTAAACCCACCAACCCCCGGCCCCCACCTGGCTGGCTGTCAGTCTACACTTTTCCTTGCATTTTAAGCTGAGCCCAGTCCCTTCACTGCAAAACCCCAGTCCAGAGTTCCTTTAGTCCTGAAGAAAGTCTGTCATTTTGTCATGTGTGAAAATATTTCTCTCTCTGACGCAATATAATACAAAAAAGTTTTACAATAAATCATGGTATTTTGGACAAGAATCATATAGTTTTAGGGGACCTTTTTTCCTGATGAATGGTGAATATTAACATTATACAATCATTTAATTTGAAGGTGATGGAACAGAATAGAGCTCTTCTAATTCCTCAATAAATTACTTAAGTCAATAATGATCACCAGATATACTTTTTTTTTTTTTAAATATCTGAAAGCAAGTAATCACTTTGCCTACTCTGAGTCTACCAGGCAACCACTCATTCAACAACCCAGGAAGAAACCCAAGGGTGAAACACTCCTGGCTTTTAACAAAACACTGTTAGTAATTGTTTCTCAGTAGAACACATTTTAAGTAGAACTCAACACTTAGGCAGTGACCTGAATCCTATTTTCCTATTGCCTTGACAAGTTGACATTGTCAAAACCCTTCATTTCTGCACCTGTTAGCTAATTAGCTCTAATCAAGAATGTCTGTGGGTCACTCTGCCCCCCTCTCTATGGTACTCTACTGGATTCCTTCCAATTCTCTCTTCTTTTCCATCAAAGCCTGTTCTTGAATAAATTCACTTT